GAATGATTGCTCTATGCAAAATGTACTTTTATTGGGAACTTTTCAAGTCATACCCAGTGTAAATTAATTTGCTATCATGCTATACTGTAGGCATTGTTTAAAAGACATCCTGAGTCTCCATGGATCAATTCAAAAGGATGGTAGCATCTTTTCTTCTTGCAGAAAAGAAGGACCAATGTTGTAGATACTTGTTTACTTCCGGAAAAACTCTGGAATCACCTTCTACAGACATCATGCAATGTTTGTTTTAACATTTCTACCTACCTTTTGTATTATACACACTACCAACATTGATGGGGAGTCATTTTACTTCATTCCAACAAATATATTGAGTGAAAAATACATAAAATGGGGAACAAGTTCAAATTTACCCTTTAGAGGAGGATATAAAATTTTCTAGCCCAGAGACTCTATGAAGCTTATAACAATAGCAGGGAGATCCAGTGTTTATAATATATCTCTTCCTCAAGTTGTGAATTGCTTTCAGTAGGTTGCAGTCATTCAGAATTTCCCACTTTGTTACATCCCATTTTTGGCACATGTCACAGTCAATTCTCTGCCTTATCCTGAGTTTTCAATTGTTCATCCCCAGACTTAGTATGTACAATATACACCTTTTTAGCTATGTTTCATACACCAGAGTGTAGTTCTCAAAATGTTTTGTTCTTGTGTTACAGAACTAACTTTGTCCAAAAAATGATGTGACATTCTTTTTGCCCAGTTAGTGTATGTCTACAACTTATCCACAGCAGTTACTAGATGTTGATGCATCTCATAAATGTTATAACCAAGCCCCAATACCCACCACCACATTCTCGCTCCAGAAAAAAAAAAACCACTGCCGAGAATCAAATATGCACGAAGCCAAGACAGGGAGTCGAACCCTTACTATAGTGCCCACAGTTTTCAAGTCACTGTTGATCCAAAACTGTTACCCAGTTCCTGTGGATAGTTGAAACTAGAAACAACTCTCACGAAAACACAAATATGGTTACGTGCCTCAAGTAGCAGTAAATACACGAAAAAACCTACCGATAAAATGACCGTCGAAGATGATCTATGTTGATGTGGGGAGTCGAACCCCGATTGTGCCCCTCGCACTCATTGACGATTGGTCAAGCCGGTACACCGTACGTTCTACGTAGGTTTCAGTGTCACGGAATACATTGCAACATTCCCCACCGACCCATTTTTGAAAGGTAACATTAAGATTTACGGCACACATAGAGGTCCAAAATTTCGTCAGGCCCATCTCTACACCACGGATGTCCCCAAATTATGCACATACGAGTAACCTTACAAGCTAGAGCTTGCGTAGACATTTAGATACCAAAAAACAAACTTGGAAACCGTGTCCGGTCTCAAAGCCAAGCCAGGGAGTCGAACCCTCATTATAGTGCCCAAAGCTTGCATTATTGATTCAATAACTGTTACACCGCATATCGATCTACAAGGATGTTATCATAGGAGCGTGATATCCGAGTCCCTGTGGATATATAGTTGAAATAGCCCTCACGAAAACACAAATATGGTTACGTGTCTCAAGTAGCAG